TGGCACGAGTTTTCTTGGGACGGAGATCAAGAGGCAGAAACTTCTTATTCTTGTAAGCTTCCCTGAGTGCGGCTTTCTGTTTCTGCGACATCACAGTCAACACCTGCGCTATTGACAACCTCACCACCTTTCTGCACCCATTCATTTTTTAAAATGTAAATTATCACAAACGAAATTTAACCACGACATAAAATCAGTGAAGCAAACAGCAAAAATAGACAACTGAAGGTGAGAGATGTAATTTACATCTTGGAGAGCTTGTTAGGGGCACCGCCAGTAACCTTGGCAACACGAAGGAGAGCGAGCTCTGCTTTGAGCTCCTTCAGCTGGGCCAGCAGCTCTGTCTTGGACTTTTCCCTCAACTCATGAACCTTTATCCTTGCTTTTTATGATTCCAGATAACAGCTCATTTAGCATACAGAAATTAAATCAGTCAGAGGAAATAAAATGTACAAAGAGATGATTGCTTTTCTTACCCATTTTAAGGTGGGTGTAAGGCTCTGCCGCTGCTCAGTTGTGTTCCTCTCAGAAAACCCTAGCAGGCAGGAGATGGTCTCATTTGAGGATCCACAGATGGACATATAAAACGTACTATTTATATGGGCTATTTAACAGTCGGCCAGGCCCAAGTACACGCTGTTCGGCCAATCCCAGGAAGACACTGCGTGATGTCTGTTAGCATTTATTGGGCTGTTTTGGGCCCGGTGTATGTCTTTTCAAATGAACGCTTGCCATTATTTTGTTCAAAGGTAAATTTCAATTATAAGGACCTCCCCTGTCCAAACCTTGTGATTATTATTATTATTATTATATATAAATTTCGATTTACCTATCTCTATTTCTCCTAAAATTCTGATTTGTTTCAGTTAGATCGTATCTTTTATACTTGTTCCACTCGACTGTAATAAATAGTAACATGTAATATCTCAATGAAACTTGAAAGATTGGAGTGATGGAATCAAAATAAATAAAAATAATTAAAAAATATTTTTCTATTAATATCATAGTTTGAAGATCCAGTCCAGGTTCTAGGTTTTGACCGGGTCACTAAGTTGGCTATATCAAATTTTTTTATAAAAAAAATATCAAAATGATGTTATTTTAATAAAAAAAAAAAAATCAACAGGTTTGCAAAATTAAAATAATGTTATTTTAATAAAAAAAATAAAAAATTAACAGGTTTGCATCCGGTTCTTAACCAGGTCTCCGAGTTAACTTGCCAGGTCATACCGGGGTTTTTTTTCCTTATTTTTTTTTCATCTCGGCCCAATTCTAACCCTGGATACCGAATCAACCTGTTAGGTTGGACCGAATTTTAAATCTCTGATTAATATTATTTGTCAATCCTCTGGGAAAAAAAAAGACTTAGCAGCATCGAACCATCACCATTGTTATCTTTCATGCCCTCTTCCACTAATATATTATATTTGCATATTTTATTAAATTATCCATTAAAATCTATTGTAAAATCTTAAACAAGAATTTTATAAAAAACAAATAAAATCTCTTTTATTGGAATGGTAGATCGAGGATATGACAGGTTGTAGAGTTAAATTTATTTAATTGTGATGTTGATTTATAAAAATATAAATTGGCTATATTAACTTTCAAGGTTAAAATTTATTGAAAATTGTTCTTTAGCAAAAGTTATTTAACATGATTATTAATATTTAAATAAATTATGAATGAAGGAGAATCAATTCATCTCAAAAAACCTTAATTTGGAAATTTAAGATTGTGAGATTCCACATTAATAGGTAAGGAAGTGTTAATTGATCTTATTAAAAGTGCAGTTTGCTAATTTGTTATACATATGTTTTGATGCGTCAGGCTCAAAAATAAACTTGCATCACCAAGAACAAAACTGTGAGAGCAGTAGAACTCAAAACGAAAAATATATGGCAAGTTGGGTTGAGTTATTATATTTGATATTAAAGTCTGGTTTACTAGTTGTTCGATAGTGACAGTGAGATCATCAGACTCCTTAAAAGAGATTAATTGTGAAATTCCACATCAACGAATAAGGGAATAATAAATAATTTTATTAAAAATGTTAGGTGTTAACTTATCATATACATTTATTCCACATCAACGAATAAGGGAATAATAATTAATTTTATTAAAAATGTTAGGTGAACATGAGATTTAAAAATGATCTCGTATTACTAGAAAAAAAATTATAAAAAAATAAAATTCAAAATAGATAATATATTATATGGGATTGTTATGAAAATCATCCACTCCATATAAAAAATAAAGGTGATTTTATTTTAGTTTTTTTAATGGAAAGTTAAAAAATCATAAATGAACCAAAGTAAAGCGTTATAAACTTAACCTGCTTGCGTGATCAGCTTGTGCATAGACTCATACCCTAGGTGCTAGGCCTCAGAGGTCTCAAGTTTTTTTTGCTAATATTCTAAATTTAAATTTGAGTTTATTATAAAAAATTAATTTTTTTCCTCTTAGAAAACTATTTTTGTACCATCTCATTTATGAATATCTAGCGTGTGAATAAAAGGTATTAATAGCCAATCTTTTTTTATCTTTCTAGATAGTTTTTCAAAGGAAAAATATCTGGACTTAAAGCTAAAAACTGATGGGTTTTGATTATTTTTTTTTATGGTGAAGGTAAAACAAACATAATTAATTCTAGTAATTATAAAAATTAATTTTTATCAGCTTTGGTTCTAAAAACCAATATAAATAAAAGTGGAAGGGAAGATGTTTTGAACACTTTTGCAAAAATTTGCCTATATATTTAAAAGTATAGTTGTGAAAATCATAAAATGCTGATTATATACATTTATACGCAGAGTAATAAGTAATAAACTTTAAGAAGATATAATCTTTTAGCTCGCTAGCTTATGTGTATCTACATTTCCTCAACAAAAGATCATTGTTTTTCTAGTTTTAATTTATAAGTATTCCATATTAAGCATGTTAGGTTTCAACTTTACATATAAATTTGTTTTACATGTCTAAAATGCATGATAGATTTTTTTGTTTAATTATATTACAAAACTAACTTGTTTAGTTCTTTCTTTGCATGATATATAGACTAAACAATTATCACAATCTTTTTAATCTATAGCTCACGGAGTTACATTCCGTTATTATTCTTGAGAGGAATGGAGGGAGGGGGGAAATTGAAGCGAAAATAAAAGGTGTAGGAGCTGATTGGAACAAAAATGAAAGGTATGAGAGCTAAATGAAATTAAAAAAAAAAACACTTAAATAAAACTGAGATAACACATGAATTTATAAATTTCAGAGGTCAAATCAAAACTTACTCTTCTTTTGGGTTGGAACTCAAACTTTTTTTAGAGATAAGGAATACTATTATTAATTGAGTTTCAATTTAGTCACTTCTTAGAAATACGTGAGTATATTGGTAATGTGTGAAAATTATAAAAACAAATTAAGAATTTTCAAGAATATTTTAATCTTTAGTTAAACTCTCAGCTTGAGATTCATCCCGACTTATCTTTCAAATGTACATCCACTTGAACTATGATTTATATATATAAAAATAACTCTTCATAAATCGAAGGTGGCTTGATGCTGCTATGAATGTCATGAGGTAAGTGCTCCATGTCGTCCCCTTGAAATTACAACGGAAATTAATCGAATGCCTGTACAGTCTTGTGAATTGGGAGGATTAAAATAGAATGAAAGTAGCATTATCAAGATTTAATATATTAATGATATATTAAGTTGAAGGGAGAGAGCAATCAAGACCGCATAGCGCAGTGGATTAGCGCGTTTGACTTCGGATCAAAAGGTCGTGGGTTCGACTCCCACTGTGGTCGCTTGGGTTTCTTTTTGCGACATGCCAGTTTTGCCATCATGACTTCACCCCATATCCATCTTCATCTGCAATGGCTCTTTGCTTAGCAGCAGATACATTTGGGTTCTAGATTGGCAAGAGATTCAAGACACAGGCTTCCGAAGAGTAAATACCCGATGCCTATGGCCATGGTTTCTTGTTTGGCGAAGCTCGGCGTCTCAAAATTCTTTGGGCAGAGTCGGCAGACTGCTCGAACATTAAGAAGATATAAGATCTCCCCGAGCTCTAAGAATGTAGAGCTGATCGAATTAATAAAACCAGTTAAAATTTGTTTTTTATATTTCTTTCTCCAAAAGCACTGACAGGATTGAATCAAACTATTATTATTCATCAGCACCATGAGCGGATCATCCATGGCATATAAATACACGGTTTCTACCCGGCCCCAGGTTCGTCAAGATTCTCTGCAAAGTCTCAGCAAGGACGTCAGGGAAAATCCTACAAAAATCCCACTTTCCAAATTTAGTTTAGAGGCACTCACCTTATATCCGTACTTCCTACGGGGTGGGCTTATATTATCTTTTTTCTCTGACAAAACACTATATTTTTTGTGACAAAACACTATATTTCATTGAATTGGATTAAATAGAAAATAGATGAGATTGAATTAAGTATTTGCATAAATTCATTTTAGTCAATGAAATTTTCAACAATTTATTTTAGCCCCTGCATTTTATTTTAATTACATTGTAGTACTTGTTAAAGAAAATTGATCCTCCAGTTTTTCATGACATGCAGCTTAGGCCCTCAATCAGAAATGTTTTTACAGTAAAACCCATGTGTGTAAAGGACCAATTTAATAAAACGTAAGTATACCTCATCAAATTTTAGTCAACCAAATTTAATAAAAAATAAATTAAAAATAATAACAATGAACTTGCCTATAGCATTCGACAAGCTTGTTCCGCCCTCACAGTGAAACAAGAATTTGGCCTTTGAACATTACACTAAACAAGGACTTGTCCGGTGCAATGCATGTCTTCAAAAGAATTCCAGTTCAAAGAGCCCAGTACGTCTTTGTTGGATATAGCAAAGTTACCAGCCTTTCAGCTGATTTGAGTGTAATCCGTGCGAAAAACAAGTCAGGAAGTAAGGGAAGTGGATGTGAGGGAGCAGCTAATGAAAATCGGTAATTACAGGCAAACTAAACAACTCAGTCAATGACTTTTCCAGTAAAACCATATAAGGATATGCAATATGATCGAATCCAAAGAACACAAATTCTGAATTTCAAGATAAAAAAACTAAATAAGTACTCCAACAAGAATAAAGAAGTAAAATGGTTGCCTCAACATGGCTACAACTATATCAAATGCGCTACAGAATACCCTATGCTTTGATTGCATATTTTCTAATTGGGAAGTAAATGTCCCTCTTCTTCTCACGTTCTGTCTTCAAAGATGCCTGCAGCAAAACAAGTGGAAAACAAAATATATGTAAACCCCTTAAGAATTCTGCATTCATAATAAAACCAGACAGATAAAAATAAATAGATGATGTCTCCTCAACATTCTATAGCTTGGAGTTATCATTATATGTTAATTGAACTTAGAAGAATAAACCACATTAACAACACCAATGAAAGTAAGCGGGCACAACAGCCAATGGCATTAACAATTTATTCATTGCAGGACTTGAACACACAAAAACTCAAAATGTAATTATCCAATAAAGTTTTTAGTCCATTTGCTAGATATCCAGTTTTTTTATAGATTAACTTCACCAAATACTAAATTCAAAATGTACTTGATCTCTAAGAGATTAAGACGCATGCTAACATAACATAGTAATGAATAAGTGTTGTTTAATTATACACAATGACTTAAAAATATACCTTTTAGTTTACTGAATTGCAACCACAACAAGACATGCACCAAGCAGAACTATCAAAAGAAGCATATTTTTAAAACAAGAACTATAGGCAAGGCAGTGACAAAGTAAATATTCACTAAGATTTTCATTTGGGAATGTGAATAAAGACCAGGTGCTTTGTAGCATGTCACCAAATGATATATTTCAATCACAGCTATTTTTTGTTTTTATGATTTCACCATATTCAAACACGCAAATGCAACAAACATATAGCTAATTATAGGCAACTTAGATTTGATCCTTCACTCATTTCCTAGATTAGACAGAAACAAGACAAAACTACCAGGCATTGCTAGCTAAACAAGAAAATTCTACAAAAACAAGCATTGCAAGCCAAAAAACAGAGTGTACATTCGGTATATATATAATTGGCAGGTTAAATGAAGACCTGGTGTTTAGTAAGACGTCTGCGAATAGCACGGGTTTTCTTGGGACGGAGATCAAGAGGCAGAAACTTCTTATTCTTGTAAACTTCCCTGAGTGCGGCTTTCTGTTTCTGTGATATCACAGTCAACACCTGCGCCACTGACAACCTCACCACCTTTCTGCACCCATTCATTTTATAAATTATAGATAAAAAAACACAATATAAAAATCACCTAACCGCAACAAAAACGGGAGGAGAGACAATTTACATCTTGGAGAGCTTGTTTGGGGCACCCCCAGTAACCTTTGCAACTCGGAGGAGGGCTAGTTCTGCTTTGAGCTCCTTCAACTGAGCTAGGAGCTCTGTCTTTGACTTTTCCCTCAACTCATGAACCCTTATCCTGGCTTTTTATGATACCAAAATAACAACTCATTTAGCATACAGCAATTGAAACAGTCATAGGAAATAACATGTACAAAAAGACGATCGCTTTTCTTACCCATTTTAAGGTTGTTGTGAGGCTCCGCTTCAGCTTCTCCTGCTCAGTTGGGCAACCCTCTGAGACTCCTTTTTTTTTTTTTAATTAATGTGGGTGTTCGGACCAGTTTGTACGCATCATGACTAATCTTATAAGCTCTGAAGTTAATGACCATGTAAATCTTCAGTGACTATCATATGAACAGTTAAGAACTCGAACCTGAGACCACAAAAAAAGTAAACTTCTTGATTTCAAGTCCTTATCATTTGATCACCGTCTAGATGATGGTTATTTGATGATCAAAGGAGAAAGAGAGACAAATGGACGCACTATTTCTAATGGGCTATTTGGTACTTTGGGCCAATTTCAAGTAGACACTGTCCAGTGTCGCTCTTGTTTTTATTGGGCTTTATAATGGGCCTGATGCATTGTGTCATGCGTTTATTTCAATGGTCGTTGGCAGCCCAAATTAGTCCCTCTTTTTTGCATTTCCCATTATTAATTTAATACGATGTTACCTATCAATTAAATTTATATAAGAAAACTCTTCAGCAAAGATGATGATAAAAAAAAAAAAAAATTCAAACCCCGTTTACAAACGCACGCGAAAAGGGTGATTGAAAGTGAGTTTTAATTTTTTTTCCAAATAAATTGTTTTTTATTTTAAATTAATTGTATTTAATATCTTTTAATCGTTTTAATATATTAATATAAAAAATTAATACCTGAAAAAAGAAAATAATTTAAAAACTACCTCCAACATTTCCAGCACCTTTAAAAAACAAACAGGAAAGAATCGTGTTAGCTTGATCACATGAACTGTTCTGGCTTCTCCAGTGATAGAATTAAACCAGTAATGCTTAATGCTTAATGCTTAAGACAACTCAACAGTCAACACCACCACTTCTTCTTCCATCTCCAATTCCCACACTGTAATGATGAAACAATTACACAAACAAACCAGCGTGAATCACAGGAGAGAAGATGAAAGCCCAACTTCAACTCAATCTTACTCACCTAAGACACTAAAACACCCTAGATCCCTTCCTTATATCTTCAAAGAACAACGCTTTCTTTTCATTCTTGTTGGCATTTTAATTGGTTCTGCTTTCTTCATTTTCCAGCCCACTCTCTCCCGCCTTAATCGATCTACCCATTCTTCTATCCCCACTTCAATTTACCATCGCCACCAAGATTCCTCATCTGGGTCCTCGGGGTTTGCCTCAAAGGGATCGTTTCCAGGCCGGGTCCCAGCTGCGATCGGGAGGAAGAGGCTGCGTATTGTGGTTACTGGTGGGGCTGGATTTGTTGGGAGTCACTTGGTGGATAAATTGATCTCGCGGGGTGATGAGGTTATTGTGATTGATAATTTTTTTACTGGGAGGAAAGATAATTTGGTTCATTTATTTGGGAATCCGAGGTTTGAATTGATTAGACATGATGTTGTTGACCCTATTTTGTTAGAAGTTGATCAGATCTATCACTTGGCTTGTCCTGCTTCTCCGGTTCATTATAAGTACAATCCTGTCAAGACTATTATATCCTTTTTCTTTTTTAAATGAAATTGTTATGATTTCTGAATCATCATCAATGTTGTTAATTATGTGACTTGTTTTTGTGTTTTTGGAATTTTTGGATCCTTGACTGTGAATTGTTTGCTTACAAGACGAATGTGATGGGCACACTTAATATGCTGGGTTTGGCAAAGAGGGTAGGGGCGAGGTTTTTGTTAACGAGTACGAGTGAGGTTTATGGCGATCCACTTGAGCATCCGCAGAAGGAGACTTATTGGGGAAATGTGAATCCAATAGGTCAGATGTTAGTTAGAAACATCTGTTTGTTTGTTTCACTGATGGAACAATGTTCTGTTCTTGTTATTGATTGTTTATGCTTTGAAATTGTTTAGGTGAGAGGAGTTGCTATGATGAAGGAAAACGGACTGCAGAAACATTAGCCATGGATTATAATCGAGGTGCAGATGTTGAGGTAATTGTTTCTGATGTATAACTAGATTACATGCTATCATGGCTTGCTTATTTTGATATCAGGATCTTTGGGTATTTGAAATTTGTTTGATAGTATTTGAATTTCAGTTGTCTTTACTCAGTGTTTCTTGATAGATATGCTCCTTGAGATACAATGTAATAGGGGATCAGTAATTGCTAGTCGTAGTTAAAATGCCAGTGATGAAATGTCATGCTTTTGTGCGTATATCCAATAAGTAGATATATGTGTATTTTAGACAACCTATTCTGTAGACAATTTAAGTGTGAATTAAGTTGGATCAGACCTTATATATCTGGTAAAATAGGGGTTATCATTAATTAATCTCTCCTTTCGAGCATATAATGTTTGAGAATGGCCCACGATCAATTGGCCAGGCTCTGAAATTGTTGCATGACTTTTACCTTTTTGAAGGCATTAATAATTTGATTTAGCTTCGTTATGTTTGGAGCAAGTGTTTTCTTTATAAAGAAATCATGTAATGCACTCATGTCGAAGGCAATATAATTGTCTCTGCTATTGCACATGGTTTTCAGGAATCGCTTTTGTTCATTGTTCTTCTAAAAAATAACTGAAAAGTTTCGACATGAATCTCATGTCTTTGCAAAAGTATATGCTATGGCTACTTCAAAAATGTACTAAACTATGCTAATACTGATTGTTTATCTTCTGACAAATATTGGAATTCAAAGTATGAATAAAAGCAATTAAATTTATTCTAGAATTGACTGGCAGAATGGTATTCTTTTTTCTGACAGTTTCAGCATTCTACCAGTCCATCTGTGTTATTTCCCTTATTATTATTGTTGAATAGTTGATTTGTTTGGGTAGGTTGGGGCATGGTGGGGATTTTCTTCCTATCCACTTGAATTTGCATGCTCAAAATGTTATCAATTTAATTTGACATTGTGTGCTTAATTTTCACGTTCTACAATGTATAAACAGTTGCATGAAATGCGGAAATTGCCAAAGCCACGTTGTGTCGGGTAGGAGAGTTGTAATATCACATATCCCTTCATTTTGCTAAACAGTTGTAATATCACATATCCCTTCATTTTGGCATTGTTGAGCTATTGGTCCAAGATTTACCCATTCCTATTTTATGCAAGGTCTTCGAACTTGCTTACATTCTTTCTTAGTTCCTTCAAAGATTAGTTGATTTGATTAGCTGCCCTTGGGCTTTGCTCCATTTAGTGAAGGGTTGGGTGGTATGGGCCAGGTTTTAGGTTAATGCTCAATATCATACCAATTGAAATAAATGAATTTGGTATGTGTAGAGATTAAATTTTTCTTTTAACTCCTTAAACATCAGTAAATTTTATGAGCTACCCCTTGGGCTTGGCCCAGGCAGTAAAGGGGTGGGCGAGATTGGTTAAGGTCTTTCGTTAAAATCATACCAATTTAAATAAATGGATTCAGTTTCTAGAAAATGATGAATAATTGCAGCACTATAAAATAATTCATTGTCACTTGTGGATTAAAAACAATTGCCTTGTTTGTATAATCAGTATGCACAAAAGTGGCCAGTCTATTTCAGCTGTCTCAGTTGCAGTGGCTTGGGCTCAAAACAAGCTTTGTACCCATTTTTTATCAGATCAGCTGGCGAATTTCTCTAATTATTTGATGCATAGAATGTAAAAATTTTAAGCTTTTTGTGTTGTCTGTGCTATACTAGGTTGATATGATGTGAACTTTGTCAATTAAACTGGAAAGATTTTTTCATATGAAGGCTACTGTTGTCCTCAATCCTGCAATCGCTTCTCTTGCGTATATGTGTTCAGTTAACCTGTGGGAAATGGGCTAATGATGGCTCTTGCGGTTGGCAGGTGCGTATTGCTCGGATTTTTAATACGTATGGGCCTCGCATGTGCTTGGATGATGGGCGTGTTGTCAGTAATTTTGTTGCTCAGGTATTATTCTCCATTTTTAGGCATTGATGTCAGCAATGAGCTTCCATTTGGATTTTGGGATATCTAATTGGAGGTTTACTTTTTAGAAGCTTCCTTACTATTTGAACTATGTTTGCAGGCCATCCGCAAGCAACCAATGACTGTATATGGTGATGGGAAACAAACTAGGAGCTTCCAATATGTTTCTGATCTGGTATGGCATCATTATCCATAAATTCATTATCCTGCCTTTTCCACTTAAAGCTCCTCTGGATGCCTAGTGACTTTGTACCATTGCTAGCTGGCCTGCAAGCTGTTTGAGCTCCTCTATCTCAATGCAAACTACTAAAATCACCTTTGTAGTTGTTCACGGCCACTAATCAGTCAAGTGGCTGCATAAGGCTTTGAAATAGAAGATGCCAGATGTGATAATTCTTTTTGTTTTTTTTTAGAGAAACAGAGAATAACTGCAAATGCAGAGGATATCCTGAACATTGGATGTGTTTTGGGTCTATGTTTAAGCTCTAAAAAGTTGATGTGATAAGGTATGTTAAAAGCCTTTTCCATATACAGGTTGATGGGCTGGTGGCACTAATGGAAGGCGAGCATGTGGGACCTTTCAACCTTGGCAATCCAGGAGAGTTCACTATGCTAGAGCTCGCAGAGGTTTGTCTTCAAATTTTATAGTTTATCTTATTTTTAAAGATAGTTATGGATTCCTTTTCGGAGCGTGTTGCATTTCTGCACTTTGTTCTTGCTAAGATTCAAACTAAGGAGAATTGTTGTCTACTCATAAGAGTGTGTGTGTGTGTCTATGCGTGCATGCATAAGGAGATAGAGATAGAGAGGGATGGAAACTCCTAGTTTATGTTGGCATACTCAATTTTCCCCCTTATCTTGAAGGTTGTCAAAGAGACTATTGATTCAAGTGCAACAATAGAATTCAGAGCCAACACTGCTGATGATCCACATAAGAGGAAACCAGATATCAGCAAAGCGAAGGAGTTGCTGAACTGGGAGCCAAAAATTTCCTTGAGAGAAGGATTGCCTCTCATGGTGAATGATTTCCGGAATCGCATTTTGGAAGGAGATGAAGGGAGAGGGCTTTAAATAAAATGACGGCAGAACTACAATGTATAGTGTTTCACCTTATCTATATCATTCATTTAGTAGGTATCTTCCATAATCCATGT